GGTAGACCTAGGAAGACTTGGGCTTCTTGTATTAAAAATGATCTTAATTTACTAGAAATAAATGAAAATATGACACTAAATAGAATGCAATGGAGAAAAAGGATTCATGTAGCCGACCCCACGTACTGGGATTAAGGCTTTGTTGTCGTTGTTGTTGAGCTTCTACCACCAATTTCACCCATCTCCTCAAGCTCTTCTATCCAGCTGACCCACACCCAAAGAGCTCTCCAACCGAGCTCGCCTGCATCCATCAAATTACGTCATCAAGTTTGTTGAACAGTCTTCTATGACAGAATCACGACAGAAAGAAGCAAAACTCCATTTCATTATCGTCCATGCTTATTTATTGACCACATGAAGTCTATGCCTATGATTTTATCAATGGCAAGTCTTAAAAGACTCCATGCAACACAACCTACAGCAGTGCATTTGTTTATTATTTGTAGCCCCATGAATGAGTACACACACATTCTAGGAGATATAAATAAGAGGGAGATAAAGAGAGGGAGAGAGAGGGAATGGAAGAGGGAAGTGCTCTCTCTCTCTCTCTTTCTACTTCTTCCTCACGAGCATCAATAACAACGTACACTCTGAAATCCTCAGCTCCCTTGTACCTCTTTCACAATGTTTTTCCCAGATTGTATAAATTCACGGACAATATGCGACTCTACGTCCTATAAACATTCAACACTAGTAAAGCAAATATATTCGTCAACTAAGAAAATAATGAGAAACAAATTTGGTAGGCCAAAGTTGTTGATTTTTAAAAAAATTAATACATAATGAGAAACGACCACAAACTTAGGTGAGTATTAATCAATTATTCTTCATCATATCATGCAATCAAATGTGCCCGACTTTTTAAGACAAATATAAATATCAAATTTAGGCGTTAGATATGTAAAAACATAAGAATTGTGTGACATTTATGTGTAGAGAGAGAGAGAGAACTATGAATGAGATGAAACCGAATGAAACATCAACATCATATGGCATGATACATTGGTTAGAATCGTTCTGAAACACCACAAAAGGTTTTACCAGCACATTTAATAAGATCAAAAATGGAGAATAATTGCTCACAAGAGTTCAGCTAAATCCAAAAACCCGAGATGAACTGTACCAGATGTACTAATTATACGGTAAATTAGAACTAGAGTTCTCTGTAGAAGTTATGACTCATTATCAGGTGTGTAATAATTTTTCTGTTAGCTACTGATCAACAGTTTGTTAGGATAAATTGTTTATCTAGATGAGTTGGATAAGTTGCAGCTGCCCCAAACAGACTCTTAATAATTCATAAATTAAAACTAAGCACCAGATGAGCTAATTATGCTGAAAATGATCCTGTTAGACCGGCGTCTATGGCATCGTCCGCCAAATAATTTGAAAACTTATGTTAAATGCAAGATTAAAAGGATAATGTAGTTATTATTTTTACTTTGTTAGTAATAATTCAAAAAAATACAACCTAAATTAGAAATTGGCAGAAAATTCAGCTAGCATTTTCTGCAATAAATTGTTTGTCATTGCTACAACGCGAAGATGCTTGCACCAAAAATGCAAATTGAAGTTCTACACCTAAGTGATAATCTGAAGGGGACATTTGCATACAAACCATAATCTTCCCACACATTTATATATTTAACACCTAAATTTTACTTTTTACACTTATATCATCCAAATCTTTTATATCACATAAAAATAAATATAACTATTTTAAATTTTAAAAAGTTAAATACATCTTTTTCATGCATATGTAAGTTGGCATATATGTAAAAAATTGAAGTTTAGAAATTGGATATGAAAATACATAGGAATTGAGTGGTATGCGTGCATGAAATTTTACTAATCTGAATAGGTGATGACTGCAATCTGAGTAAGTCATATTAAATTAAATCCTGTCAATTCAGATTTACTAAATCCTGCCAACAACAGGATTTAGCAAATTTAGAATTCAAGACAACTGAAAAGAGATTAAGAAGAAACTACCTTCTGAAAATGTTAATAGGTTCTAGTAAATCTTTTATGGTATTCATTTTAAACATTGCATTTCCAATAACAGGATTTAATAAATCCGGAATTTAAAACAAAGCTGAGAAGAGATTGAGAATGAACTGGATTTACTAAATCCTGGATTAAAAGCTGATTTTTTTTTTTCTGTTTGACAAGATTTATGTCAAATCCTACTTGAGTCTCTTACCATACAAACCTTTAAAGTGTTTCAGTGACACCAGCTTAGGGTCTATTTGGGGCAGTTGTAGCTTATCAAAAAACTGTTGTGATTACAATTTTTTCTTACAAAAAAAGTCAGACTGCAACTAGTAAACTACTACTGCACCTGGCTAAAACCGGTGGTAAAACGTAGATTTTAGCTGCAGTTTTTTGAAAAAACTGTCAAAATGCGGTTTATCCAAACAAACATAATTGTGGTGTCGCACCATAGTGCCGCCCCAAACAAACCCTTAGCCTTCTAAAAATGCTAGTTAGTTCTAGTAAATCTTCTATGGTGCTTTTTTTGAATATTGCATTTCCAGCAACAGGATTTAGTGAATCAGAAATTTAATACAAATTTGAGAAGAAACAGAGAAGGAGCTGGATTTACTTTTATTTGACAAGAAGTAAGTTAAATCCTACTTAAATCCGCGACCATATAGCCCCTTAAAGTGTTTCAATGGCACCAACTTAGCCTTCTAAGAATGTTAATTTGTTCTAGCAAATCTTCTACGGTGCTCCTTTTGAATATTGCATTTCCAACTTAAATAACTAGCTCAAACAATAAGAGTGTTGGCACAATCCAACTTTTCTCCCAAACAAAGGCAAAGACAAGGCTAGAAATCCAATTCTTCTTCCAAACAAAAGAATCTAAGGGCATTTACATGCATACCGCACAATTCTTATGTATTTACATATCTAACATATACTTCCTTGTTAACAATTATAACACACAAAACTTCAACATCACATAAAAAATACCACCATTATTAAAGTTTTGAAAGCAAAATGCACATTTTCATGCATAGATTTATGACATCAAAGTTTTACAAGTGTAAATATCAAACTTTGGGATTTACATATGTAAATACGTGACAATTCTGTGGTATGTACATAAATTTCCCAACAATCTACACAGTCAATTACTTCAAGATGAATTAAGAACAAGCAAGCAAGCTCTGTCACAAGTTCAGATGTTTCAAGACAGAGTCAATTATGCAAGAAAGCAGTACTTTCTTATACAAGCTACTAATTGTATCAAAGCAAAGGCGTAAATTCTTCCAATGACAAACAAAGGATTAAAAATCACAACTAAGCACCATCAATAGTGTTGCAGACTAATCTTCATATATGCTGCAAAATTGGAATTTGGACACACTAATGCAACCAAGCAGAAGGAGATGAAAGTTACAAACTAACAAGAAGGAACGAAGTTACTTTACCAGATTTCTCTAGGGCATCCAATAATTTCACTTGTTCTTCCTGAAGATATACACATCAGTCTCCTCATAAGCATAATCCGGGTGAAGATCCTCGTGAGGCACCTTCTCAATCACCGGAAAAACCTCCGAACACCGATCCCAAAATATGCGGTGCGCCTCCGGTGATCTCAGCTGGTAGCCCAACAGAACCGCTCCGCTGGGGGCAACGAGAGCGTCCATCGCAGACACGAGCTGTGCTGCGGAGTCCTCCATGTAGACAACATCAGCAGCGATAACGAGATCAAAGGGAGGATTGAGGGATCGGATCTGTTCAGCTTTGTTCCAGTAGAGCTGGGCGTGTTTGGGAGTTTTGGGGAGGGCGAATCGATTGCGCTTGATGTTGCGGCGAAGGGCCGGCATCACGGGGGCGATGTCGGTGAGAATAATGTCAAGACCGAGAGCAGTGAGAGCGATTCCGGCGGGACCGCAACCGGCGCCAAGTTCGATGGCGCGCTTGCCGGAAAAGGAGAGAAGAGGGGTGTAGGGATTGAGGGCGGCGGGAGCGGGAGGGAGTAGCCGGCGTTCGGCGAACTTAGCTAGGGCACAATGGTGAGCTCTATGACCGGCGAGTCTGTGAACTTCATTGCTCCGGCGAACAAATTTCGCCGTTGTAAAACTGATATTTTTCCGAGTTTTTTTTTAAGAGAATTCAATCCAGTTTATTATCCGGGTCGGATTTAAGTTGGATTCGAAAACTCAATTATAACCCGAAAGTTTGGGTTAGCAGGTGAAACTAAGGTTTGGGTTTAGTTCAGATTTTAATTTTTGACGCGTTTATTATTCGGTTCAGGTTCGAGTTGATGCTATTCAGATCGAGTCCCTTTTCATGTCAGAATCAAACTCGATCTGCTGACCAGAATTGAAACTCTTAGGATCCGTTTAGGGCAGCTTATAAGTGCGGGCAGCGTTTTCAAAACTCGGTCGTACTATTTGGTTCGCGCGTTTCATCAGCTTATCTGAAACTGAGTTTGAGTTTTTACACTAAACGCAGGTCGCGGGTCGACCCCTGTGGTCAGCCCGCGGGCCGCGTTTCAGGATAAGCAGCTTATCCAGAAACGCACAAGCTGCCTCAAACTGACCCTTAATCGGGCTGACTAGAAAAAAAAATATATTTAAAGTTTGTTGATTCGACCAGAACTGAACCGGACCGGAGTTTTGTCAGTTAACATAATAAAAATAAAAATTAATTAAATATGACAAATAACATTATGATACTAAAAAAAATTGATCAAAATTGTATTATAAAATATAAAACATAAATAAAAAATAAATTCAATAATTTTAGATATAAAAACAAAATGTACAAACCACCAATCAAAATTATTGTCATCACAAAGCCTAATAAGAATCTCAACCATCCAACAATTGTTCTTTTTGGGGCAGTAATTGCGGTGCGGCACCGCATCGCAGTTTTGTCTGCTTTGAATGTTTTTTCAAAAAAAGTTACCGTTGGAACAATACATTTTCCCACATAAGTCAAGACTAGATGTATACTTTTTTTTTTTTAACATCAGTTGCCCTAGACGGATCCAAAATGGTCAAGTATCGACAAATGTAGCAACCATTTTGGCCGCCGACGGCCGCCGGTGGAAACAATGTCTGTGCAGAGGCATCGAATTCGAATCAAGCAAATGCAGAACCCCAACCATAAGAACCGAAGACAAGAACATCGGAATCGGCCCGAAAATCCACATCAGAAGCACCGTCGCGAAATAGAGCGCCCTCAACCCCGCCGCCCAGAAATTCCCGCCGCGTATGACGGCCCTCTGGACGTACCCTACCGGCAAATCGGATCCCAGCGTGGTCATGAGATAGCTGGAGTGGACGAAGTATCGCGCCGATTGGATGAAAGCGGTGAAGGCGACGAGGAAGCAGACGAGGAGCGAGATGTACTTGACGGAGGTGGTTGATCGGGTTTTGTCGCCGTATATTACTTGTGCGGTGAGCTGATCGGCGGAGGAACCGGCGACCAATGTGCCGATCAGAGAGCTTAGGGCGATCGAGAGCGAAGCGAGATTGCTTGATGCCGATGTGCTGCTCGAAATTACAGATAGGGCCAGACTCGTCTCCTCCCCTGTTGCCTGTTGCTCAAATTATAAGCCCTTAATAACTTATCAATAACATCTAATTAATACCTCAATAAACTCCTAATAACCTCTTAATAACTGCAAAACTGAGGTTATTGAGGCGTTATTACACACTCAGCTCTGCGTACGTATTTCATATGTAAATATTTCCCCTATTTCAAGCCTCGGCTAATACAGCTTTGGTATTGAAATTGTATAACCTTTATTTATTTAATTGCATTTCTATCATCTGTAGGTCATGTAATATATGCAAATACATAATTGAATC